TCCACCAGAGGACACACTCAGGGGAGAAGCCCTATGTGTGCAGTGAGTGTGGCCGAGGTTTTAACTGGAAATCACGCCTTCTTATCCACCAGAGGACACACTCAGGGGAGAAGCCGTACATGTGCAAGGAGTGTGGCCGCGGCTATAACCAAGAATCAAGCCTCCTCATCCACCAGAGGACACACTCAGGGGAGAAGCCCTATGTGTGCAGTGAGTGTGGACGTGGCTTTAACTGGAAATCACGCCTCGTCCTCCACCAGAGGACACACTCTGGAGAGAAGCCTTACATGTGCCTGGAGTGTGGCCGAGCCTTCAATTGGAAATCATGCCTCCTCATGCATCAGAGGACACACTCAGGGGAGAAGCCCTATGTGTGCAGTGAGTGTGGCCGAGGCTTCAATTGGAAATCATGCCTCCTCACACACCAGAGGACACACTCGGGGGAGAAGCCTCATGTGTGTAAGGAGTGTAGCCGAGGCTTTAATCGGGAATCAAGCCTTTTTAGACACCAAAGGACACACTCAGGGGAGAAGCCTTATGTTTGCCATGACTGTGGTCGAGGTTTTAACTGGAAATTACGTCTCATTATCCACCAAAGGACACACTCAGGAGAAAAGCCCTATGTGTGCAATGAGTGTGGCCGAGGATTTTACTGGAAATCACGCCTCCTTGTCCACCAGCGGACACACTCTGGGGAGAAGCCCTGTGTGTGCAGTGAGTGTGGCCGAGGTTTTAACTGGAAATCAAGCCTTCTTAAGCACCAGAGGATACACTTACGGGAGAAGCCTTATGTGTGCAAGGAGTGTGGCCAAGGTTTTAACCGGGAATCAAGCCTCCTCATCCACCAGAGGACACACTCAGGGGAGAAGCCCTACGCGTGCAAGGAGTGTGGGCGAGGCTTTAGCCGCAAGTCAAATCTCATCACACACCAGAGGACACACTCAGATGAAAAACCTTACTTGTGCCTGGAGTGTGGACGAGGCTTTAACCAGAAGTCAGGCCTCCTTCTCCACCAAAGGACCCACTCAGGGGAGAAGCCACATGTGTGCAAGGATTGTGGGCAAGGCTTTAATCGGGAATCAAGCCTACTTCACCACCAGAGGACACACTTAGGGGAGAAGCCACATGTGTGCAA